ATATATTACATTTATTTTTTAAAAGTTTACAAATTAAATTTTTTATTTCAATAATTTGGATGTAATAATAAAAAAATATTTTATTATATTTCATTTTATATTATAATTAATATATATTTATAAAAGAATATTATGATATTTTTAATAAAATATTATAATAAATATTAATTTATAAAAATACATATATACTTTTTTTTTTAGATAATATATTATATATATTTTACTTTATTTTATCTTAAAAACTCAATCAAAAAACATTAACATATTCCTTTTTTTTCCTCTTTTTGTTTTGTCTATTGTTATTTTAAATAAAAAAATCAGCTTAAATAAAAAAAAAGACAATGTTAAAATTTTATAAAATATTAATTTATTTTTATTATTATTTTTTTTATTTATAAAAAAATAATTTATAAATTATATCTATTTTATTCTTTTTATACATAAAAAAATGATTTATCGATATAAAAATAAACCTATAAAGAATCTAAAAATTACTTGATCAAGATTTCTATCACTTATATAAATTATTTAACTTTTTTTTATATATTAATATATAAAATAAAATTAAATTAAATATTATTTTTAAATAAATATTTAGTATCAAATATAAATACTATTTTTGATTAAAATTTAATTTAAAAACAAATGAAAAATTTTAGTTATTAAAAAAATATATATAAATAAAAAATCATTAAAATAAATATTATAATAAAAACATACTAAAAACAAATCTTATTAATATCAAAATAAAAATAAAAAAATTAATTTATAAAATATGGACCAAAAAATAATTTAAAACAACAATAAGCAATATTTATTATAAGAAACCGAAAAAATAGGTACTGGAAAGTTTTCAACAGTCTATAAAGGTCAATAACTAAATACAAATTTCTAAGTAGCCATAAAAGTTATTAAAATTTCTGACTTAAAAGAAAAATATGGTGAACAAATACTAAATTCGATAGGCGAAGAAGTAAATGTTCTCCAAAAATTATCTCAAATGTAATATTATCATTAATGTTCAAATATAGTGAAAATATTTGATTGTTTCCGAACTCAATCTAATATATATATAATTCTCGAATACTGCTCTTAAGGTACTTTAGAAACTCTAATAAATAAAAACCCTTAAGGCATTAATGAAAAAGAAAGTTAGTAAATAATTTTTTAAATGATAAATGCATTATATTATATATCGAAATACGAAATAATACACGGCGATATAAAACCTTCGAATATTTTCATTGATAAAGAAGGTACATATAAACTAGGAGATTTCGGCTTTGAAAGTAAAAAAATATTGCTTAACTCTCAAAAAGGAATCAATGCATACATGGCTCCAGATTATTTCTAAGAAGCAGATTTTAATGAGTAGGTGGATGTTTGGTCTCTCGGAATTATTTTTTATTAGCTTTTAACTGGAGAAGCTTATTTTTAGGATGAAAACTAAGAAGTTTTAATGCAAAAAATATGCAATGTACCTTTTAAAGTTAAAAATAAAAAATAAGTACCCAAAAACTTAGAAAGTCTTTTGAAAAAAATGCTTGAAAAAAGTCGCAATAAAAGAATTTTAATTGAAGATTTATTTTAAAATGAGCTTTTTGCAAATTTTAGAAATTAAGAAACTGAATTTTTGAATGATTTTTTATACTAGTCGATGTATTTTAGAAATAGCTTTATGTTTTTGTATTCTCTAGGAGATAATATGATCTAAAAATATAAATGTGAATGTAGATTTGATACCTATTATTTATTCAAAAAAGTTCTTTTTGAACTCAAAAATTTAATCTAAAATATAGAAATCAAACTATATAATAAAGATGTATAAGTTTAGAATTTTTATAATTTGGTTAAATCTGATTTTGAATTTGTTAATCATAAATTTTAGGAATATTTTTTGAATTTAGATAATTTTCTAAAATAAAATTATTAAAATGATTATGAAAATCTCAAAAATAAAATTAATAATGATGTAAACGCTTTTGTTTAAGGTTTATATATTTAATAGTTGGAAAGTACATTTTAGTTATTTTTAGGGAAATATAACGAATAAAAAAATAGAGAAAATTTGCTTTTTTGTTGCTAAATTAAAGTGGCATTATTTATTAATGATATTATCCTTTTAAGAAATATTAATTTTGATAAATTATTAGAGTCTTAAGGAAAAAAATATAAAGATATTGATTTAATTGAAATTTTATAATAAGAATTTAAATGAATTAATAAATATTTTTTATAAAAATTTATTATCCAAAAACATTATATTATATTTATTAAATTTAGTTATTTTTTTTATTTAATCAATTTTTAATAAAAATGTTTTTTATTTAATTAAATAATATTTAAATATAATTGGTTTTAGTTGTATTTTTATAATATAATTAAATGCCTTAAATACGAAATCAATTTTTCTTTAAACTTAAATCAAAATAAAGTCTAATATTATATTTTCGGCATATAACTTTATTGATTAACGGATATTCTTTTTTAAAGCTCAATGTGATTCTTAAATAAAGCATATATTAATTTTTATTTTTTCTTTAGTTTTTTTAAAAATTCTATCAAAAAAAAGGAGAAAATAAAAATGGATAAAGAACTTTTTTATCATTTATTAAGTTTAAAAAAATTAAAGAAGAAAAGATAAAAAAATTATATTTTTACGTAAATTTAAATAAGCATACAATATATAAATATAATGGAGTTGCTGTTTTTATAGACTTGAAAGTTCCTAGTATTAATTATGCTAATCATCATAATTTGGTATACAGAAAAGTCTCCTTTAATAGTGTTAGGAAATAATTGAATTTTATTTATAATTATTATTGGTAAAACTATACTTCAGATGATTCCTAGTGTGAATTATTAAAATACTAGATACTTTATAATTAAACTACTCTAATTATTAAAAATATATAGAAAAATAGTTATAAGGGATTTCAAAGGAGTAATATTTAAGAAAAAATATGCATAGTATTATTTTATTAAAAATAGTATTTAATATTTTATTATTTAATAACTTTTTGTTTGTTTAATATTAGTATATTCTAAAGTTTTATATTAAAAACATTATTTATTATATTTTTTTTAAAAAAAATATTAAATCATATATAATAATTATATTTAAATAAAAAACCTTAAAAATTTAATAAAAAAATAAATAATTAATTTAAAAAAAATTCAAATGAATATGGATACATATAACAATAACAATCCTCAAGCTGAAATTGAAAGATATTAAAGAACCGAAAAAATTGGTGAAGGTACCTACGGTGTAGTATTCAAGGCCATAGATAAACAAACCAACCAAACAATTGCTTTAAAAAAAATTCGTTTAGAGCATGAAGACGAGGGAGTTCCATCCACAGCAATTCGAGAAATATCATTACTAAAAGAAATAAATCATCCAAACGTAATTCGCTTAAAAGACTTAGTATATGGTGAGAACAAATTATATTTAATATTTGATTTTTTAGACCATGACTTGAAAAAATATCTTGAATTAACTAGCGGTCCATTATCCCCTTAAATTGTAAAAGATTACATGTTTTAATTAGTTTTAGGAATAGCCGTTTGTCATGCAAATCGAATAATACATAGAGATTTGAAACCTTAGAATATTTTAATAGATAAAAAAGGTCAAGTACAATTAGCTGATTTTGGACTTGCAAGGGCTTTTGGTCTTCCTATGAAAACATATACCCATGAGGTTGTTACTTTATGGTATAGACCTCCTGAAATTCTCCTAGGTGCAAGATAATATTCTACTCCAGTCGACATTTGGTCTTTAGGGTGTATTTTTTCAGAAATGGCAATGAAATAGCCACTTTTTGTTGGAGATTGCGAGATAGATTAAATTTTTAAAATTTTTAGAATTATGGGTACTCCAAAAGAAAATACATGGCCAGGAGTTAGTTAATTGCCAGATTTTAAGAGTACTTTCCCATAATGGTAAGGAATTTCTTTGGAAAAATAATGCCCAAATTTAGATTCAAAAGGTATTGATTTGCTTAAAAAAATGCTTTAATTAGATCCTACTAAAAGAATTACTGCAGAAGAAGCATTAGAACATGTATTATTATAAATTTAAATTTATATAATAAAAATGTATTTATATATATAAATGATTATGTATATATATATATATATATATAATATTATATATATATTTATATATATTTATTTATATTTATATATATTTTTATATAAAGCCTTTTTTTGATGAATTAGATAAGAGTAAATATTAATTATTAGATTGAAACACAAATTATTAATATTTTTATTACCAAAAAATATAGAAATATATATAATAACATTTTTTTTACATTTATTATGTTTTTAAATAGTCTTTATATTAGAAAGTATTTTTTTTTTAAAAAAAGTTTAATTAAAATATATTTTTTTACTTATATTAAATAGTTTATTTAATATTTTTTCTTTCCATTAGAAAGCATTTTTGTAAAAAAAAATTAAAAATATAAATAAAATTATATATTTTTTACTTAATTAATACTTATAATTTATTGTAAATTTTTAAAAAATTTCATTTTATTTTAACATCTTTTTTAAATTTTTTTTTTATTAATGAAAAAAATATAAATGAAAAAAAAACTAAAAAATATATCAAAATATTTAAATTATTTTCATTACTTATTTTTATCATCCAGGGTAATTTCTTCTATTTGAGGTTAATTTAGTTAATAATAATATTATTACAATTGCATTTATTACTATTATTACATAAGCATTTATTAATATTAATATTACATAGCCATCTAAGGATTATAAGCTGCCGGAGTTTATTATTATTAAGTACTTTATTATTATTAAGTTAATTAATCTAGCAAATTCTAACACAAATGTTTTGCGTTTTAAATTTGTGAATCATTTCCGATAATTTCAAATATTTTATGTGTTTTTTGGACATTCAATACATTATTATTCATCACAATTTTCGCTCCACCACTACACCTGTTTATATTTATAATATTACATCCATTTTTTCCTATAAATGTTCCCACAATTTCCACAGGAACTTCAAAAGTATCCTTTTTTGTATTATTTTTATATTATTCAATATAATCGAAAATAAGTTTATTTGCTAATTCACATTATTCTTTAGTACCATATACAGTAAAATCTTTAAATTCTTCTCCTTAATTTTAATTCGAATCCATTAAAATATATGAAGCTTAACTTTAATTTTTAATTTATTTTATTGTCTCTCCACCCTTACCTAAAACTAATCCTTTATATATATATATATATATATATATTATATATATATATATAATTAAATATATATATAATTTTTTTTATATTTAAAAATATATTTATAAATATAAAAATATTTATGTCTATTTAATTTTTTATTTTTTTTTAAATAATTACCAACATAATTAATAGGAACTTTGACAATAAATTTATTTTAAGCTGTATTAGGATTAACTCCTTAACAATTATTATTATGATCCGCAACAACCTCTTTTAACTATTCGCTTTTAATTTTATTTCTAGTAGCCTCATCACTAAAGAGAATTCTTTCAATTTCACAACAAGCCTCTGCCACTTCTTTTTCTGTTAGTCCGTAAATTTAAATATTAGGATTTGGAGGTTCGTTTTTAATAATAATCTTACACCTAGTTTTTTCCTATATTCTTTTCTAATTTGACCCTTTAGGTCCTATAATCAATCCTACATAATTAAAACTGCTATCTGTGGGAATATCAATAGTTCTAACAATTGTTTTCATACCCAATTGACTTTGCAAATCTTCCTAAGGTTAAGGTTATGCTTATATACCTGCCTATTATAATACTAAGGCGTTTAAGTTTTATGATTTTATTTCTATATCATGTGGATTTCCTAAATCATGCTTTCTTTAAGCATCATCTAAAATGGATTTTAGTTGAGTTTTTAATTGATCATCTAATGTAGGATTTGGATTAAAGCAATATTTATCTTAGTTCCATTCACCAGATGGCTTGTCCGATTATTAATTTAAAGGTTAGATCGGGGCGTCTGAAAATTTTGTCCTTTTTTTTTCTTATTATTATTATTATTGTTTTTTATGTTTTTTTTCTCTGCTGCGACTTCTACTTTTGCTTTTGCTTCTTGAATCGTATTTTTTTCTTCCCATTTTTTTATATTTTTTTTTTTTCCTGATTTATTTATTTTTGAATTGTTTATTTTTTAGTTTCTCTTATTATGTTTTTGATATTTATTTTATTAATAGCTTTATAATATATTTATATATTAATTTTTTTCTATTTTTTATTTGATTTAATTATATTATATTTTTTATTTATATAATTATGATATTTTAAAATATAAAGAAAATAATAATAACTAATAATGGAATGATTGATATATTAATTTTTTTATTAATTAGTTTTATTTTTTAAAAAATAAAAATAATTCTTTAATTTTGAATTATAAAAAAATATATAGTAATAATATTATAAAATATGACAGAAAATCAAAAAAATTATAAAAACTAATTAATACAAACAACAAACAATTTTTTTACAATAAAATAATAAGTATAATCTATATAGCTTTAAAATAGTATATTTTTAAAAAATTATATTCAAAAATATATATAAATAATTTATCAAGAGGATAATAATAAATAAAATCTTAATTTTTTATATGAAAGATTATAATATTAAGTCGATAAATTGGGATTAGATTTAAAAGCTTAAACAGAATAATTAAGTTCAAATGTATTTATTTTAAATAAAATAATTAAAAAAAATTATTTAATATTATTAATATAAAAGATTTGTTCTACTTCTCGATTAAATACCGCATAAAAAAGTGCTAATAAAAAAGAACATCGTTAATTTAGAAAAAAATTGCCAAAACAATAAGTTTTTATAAAATTAAAAATACAAATAACTATATATATAAATAATATATCTAAAAAAAAAAAAAGCCTTTTAAAGCATTAATGAACGCTTCAAAGGGTTTTTTATAAAAAGAAATAAGTAAATAAAGAGAAAGAAAAAAACCAATAGAATAATTAAATTCAAAAACTTTCAATAATAAATTGTTAATAAATAAAATATAAAATATTTAAATAAATAAAAAAAAAAAAATAGGACAAATAATGTTTAATTTGATATAGGAAGATCATTTTATTTTCAAAAAAATATTTTATCTTAACCTGGAAGGATATCTAAAACATAAATGATTTCAAGATAAATTCGTAAAAATCCGTTTACAGAATTTCCTCCTATATCAATGTCTGATTTAGATAAAGGTCTAATTAATTTAGTAAATTAAGGGTTTATTCCTAAAGATTTGGATTTAAATTCAATATTTAACTAAGGTACACCAGTTTTATCAGCTTCAAGAAAATAGTAAAATTTTATAAATAAAAAATTATATTCATTAAAATTTTAAAGATAGTTTCCTTTTTAAAATAAAATATTTCACGATAATATTGATATAAATACCGATATATCACATAAATATAAATTAGATTAAGATAATAGTAATAGATTTTTGCCAGTAAATACAAGCAATAATAATTTATTTATAACTTCAACATCGACTGTATTCAAAAGAACATAATCAAACAAAAGGTTTTTTAAAGGAAAACAATTTCAGAATAAAAATTAGGAAGATATTAATATAAATTAAATATCAAAAGCACCAATAAAAATTGAGCAAACCGAAATTTTTAAAAAAATGCGTTTCTTCGTTATAAAAAATGGGTAAATATAAAAAGCTAATGATGATTTTAAAGAAATTAAAAACGAAAATTATTAAATTTGGGGTTCAATAAATGGACTTATTAAGAAATTTGAAAATTTAGCGATCAAATATTAAATTAAGTTATTACATATAGACACTCTAAAGGTATTTTTTTTTTATTTTAAAATAAAAATATTAAAATAAATAAGTTAATAAAATTAATTGATGATTTAAATAGGATAAGATTAAATGATTTAATTTCTTGTATTCCTAATTAAGAAATGGTCAAAAAAGTAATTCCAGCAGAAGATATTGGATGTTTTAAAGGAAAAGCTTGGGCAACAATTAAAATAATTTGTAGTTTTAGAATGAGATAAGCAATAAGAGATTTATAAAAAATGAAATTAAAATAATATAATGAATAAGAGAAAAAATAGAAAATCTTTGTTTGGTTAAATTTTAAATTAAAACAAAGATAATTAAAATAAAGATTCTAAGCTAAAATAAAATATTATGAAGATAATATACAAAAAGATTTCAAAAAAAATTTTAAATAAATATTTTCAAATAAAAGAATAGAAATTCATTTAAATAGTTTATCAATATCTGTTAACTTTTATTTATTATAATTTTTAAATTATATTTTATAAAAATTAGTAATTTTAGAAAATGACAATGGAAAATTATAAACAAAAATAAAATTTATAAATTTCAAGAATATTTGCAATTAAAGATCCGAATGTAATAAAATATATAAAAAAAATTATATATATATATATATATATAATATATATTTATATATATTTTTATATATATTTATTTTTATTATCTATTTAAATAGGTCGAAATCATATATATTTCTCCTTATTAAATTTAATAAGAAATAATAAATTATTATTTTAAAATTTTAGAACTTGGAGAATGCATTGATTTTAAAGATAAAATTCATTTTATATATCCCGAAAATTTAAATATATATCCTGAAACATTTTCTACTTCAAAACTTATTTTTTATTGTCCAAAAGCTTTAAATAAGATAAAACAAATAATATAAGGAAAACAAGCTATTTTAATACCTGTAAAAAATAAACTAAAAAAATACTAAAATAATTAAAATAATAGGGTAAACCATCTTAAGAAGATATATAACTAGGAATATTTTTTCAAATTCCAATATTTAGTGGTCCTTTTGAATTAATAGACTAATATAGCAAAAAAAGTCAAGCAAAAATTCTTTTTGATGAATGCTAATTTCCTTCAGCCCCAGGTGCTGATAATATAAAATCTGAAAGCGATCTATTCGATAAACTAACGATCTTAATATCTAAATACTCTAATGTAAACATATGGCTTTTTAAAATAGATAATGAAATAAATGGGAGAGGAATTGCTTTTTTTAACTTAGAAACAATAAGAGCTTTAACCGAAATAAGAAAATAAAAAACTGAGCTTGAAGAAAAACATGTATTAAAAATTAGGTTATTAAATAAAAATATAAATTAAATTAATTAACATATAAAATAAAAAAATTAGAGAAATTATAGAATCTTTATTACCTTTTAAAATTTAAATTTCTATGCCAACATTATTTTAAACATATTAGGAATTTTTAAATTGTTTTTTAATAAATAATGGTATCATAGAAGCCTGTCCATTAGCCTTATAATAAGAAATATATTCTTCTTCAATTTTATTTAAATTAAATCCAGATAGCTCCACTACAGTAATGTCTTCATATGATAAACTGTATGGGTCTGAATATGTCAATTTTGGTTGCAATTTTCCCCAAACATCACTTCCTTAACTAAACATAAAACATTTATGTAACACAATAGGAAATGCCTTACATAATAAAGGTATATATGGTTATATTACAATAAATTTAATAGCATTTCCAGATCCTACTAATAAACTAGGCCACCCTCTATTTTGGATTATAGGCTTGGATTGCTATTTAAATGATTATAGTGCTATTTTTTTTATATTTGATTTCCTAATATAGGGAAAATTCGATAGAAATAACGGGAAATATTTTCTTAGCGATTAAAATGAAAATTAAGAAAATTCAAACATTATTGATGAATTTGAAGAACGTACATTCATGTATATCCCTTATATTTTCCATTAAAATTTAAAAAGTATTTCATTTAAAGAAATGTTCAATTTATGTAGAAAAAATGGTATTTCATATGATGTAGAGAAAAAAGTGGGATCTGTATTTTTGCTTGTGGACGAAATCGAAAAAGGAATTGTTAGTTTAATAACTATTAGTGAAAATCAAAAAAAAAATATGAAATAAATAACAGAAGCTGTTAATTTAATTTTATAAATTGGTACTAGTAATCTTTAAAAGGAAACTATTTTAAAAGATGATAATAAGAGGGTAGATTAGTTATTTTTAATTAATATTGCAAGTAAAGTTAGGTAAATTAATAAGGCCTACGAAACTTAGTTACTTCAAGGAAATTAAAATATTAATAATTAGTTTATTTTAGATGAGAAAATTAAAAACTGAAAATTTTTATAAAAATTTTAATAAGGTTTTTATAAGATATTTAATTTAAAATTTTATATATAAAGTATTTTATTTTTATATTTAAACATGTAGGTTAATATAGGTTAAAATAATTTAATAAAATGAATTACATAATTGATAATTTATTTTTTTAAGTAATGAATTAATAAATATTATTTAAAAAAAAAAAATATTATATATATTTTTTTTTTTAAATAAAATAAATAATTATTTTAATAGTATTTTAAAATTAAAGAAAAAAAAAAAAATTTATATGATAAAAAACGAAATAAAATAAATAAAAAACATTAATTATTAATATTCAATAAAATAGTAATATTTAAATAAATTATACTTAAATAAGAAATTTGAAAAATATGTTTAAAATATAACATATAAAAATTATTATAAAATAAATATATAACTAACATACATTGTATGTAAAATATATTTTTGTTAATTTTTTTTAATTAATAAAAAGAAAAATATAAAGTATCATATTGAAAAAATGCAAAAAATATATTTAGAAAAGATATAAATGAAATTTAAAACATTTATTTTAATAAAATTATTAGAACAATTTTATATATAATTTTTTTTTTATAAGTATTCCATTATATAAATTTTTATATAAGAAAAAAAAAAAATATATATCATTATTTCGCATCAACAGTATATGGACAAAAAACACATCCTACATCAGCTGCATGAGTATCAAATTAAACATCACCAAATTTTTACTTTTTCTCAATAATATCATTACTCATAATTAAATAGAATCTATCCCAATCTAAATAATCCATTTATCCTATTTATAAATCAAATTATGCCTTATTCATTGATTCTTAATAGGTTTGTTTTATTTTCGATGTTTTCACTAATCCTTCTTGATTTGGAGATAAACTTAAAAATATTTAATACAATTAATATATTTCTTAATCGTTTAGCCCATTTTTTCTATATTTTTCAACATTAAAATTTTCTATTTTTTAGTCTCTAGAATTATCTGCTCCCATTTATTCTTTTATTTTATTTTTATTTTTTAGTGTATATATTTAAATAGTCAAATTATTTATTTATTTATTTTTTTTATTATTATAATAATGCATTTGTGGGAATGCTTATTAAAACTATTTAAAATTAAATATATATTAAAAATTATAATTTTTTTAATTTAATAAATCAGTAAATAAAATATAATTATAGATAAATATAATTTTTGTTGTAGATTAATTAACCAGCTTTATAATTTTCTATTTGATAATTTAAAGAATATTAGTTTATAAAATTATATATTATTTTACAAAAATTAATGTTAATTTAATTAATTATTTCGTTTCTTAAACATAATTTGTATAAAATATAAGTATTCTATATTTAAAAAGTAATTTTTTATTCAAAATTTAAATCAAATATTGAAATAAAAATATTTATTCATAATAAAAATTTAGCTTTGATTATTAATTTATATAAATATTATTTTTATAAATAAATCAATAATACTATGTTTTTGTTTTTATGAATAATTTTTATTTAAATATAAAAATATTTTTTAGCGCATATGTAAAAAATTAATTAGAAATTATATATAAATCAATTAATTATAAAATTTGTTTTATATTTAATTAAAAATACATTAATTTTATAAAAATTATTAGTGTTTTTATATGATAAAATTATTGGCAGTAAAATAGAAATCTGTTTATTATTGTATTAAAAATATTGCATTAATTTATTTAATTATAAACACTATTATTTTAAAAAAACTTTATATTAAAATTAATTTTTTTATTTTAATTTCATCGATTTTTAAGAAAAAAAAAAAAAAAAAAAAAAAAAATTAATATATATATATATATATATAAATTATTCTATAAAAAAACAAAAAAAATGAATTAAAAAACAAACTTCTTATAAAAAAAGACTATGAAATTCCCCTATGTTCAATATGTTAAGAAGAAACATTACAAGATTTAATGAGTACATAATGTGGTCATATATTTCATACACTTTGTATTTATTAACATTTAGAAATTCAATCAAACTGCCCTATGTGCCGAAAAAAGCTTTTAAAAAACGGTTTAATTGCTTTGAATTTTAACATTTAATAAAAAAATGATTTTTTGATGAAGTTTTACGAAACTTTGGGAGAAGATTGGTGTGAGAATTTAATAAAAATAAAAAATGAATTAGAAGAAAAAGTAAAAGAATTATCCAAAGTTTAAAATGAAAAAAATGAAATTTATTAAAAAAGTTTACATTTAATACAATAATAAGAAGAATTGTAAAAAGAAAATCAAAAATATAAATGCAATATATAATTTTTATAAGAAAATAACCAAATAATACAAATGCAATATTAAAAATTAAAAGATGAAATAAAAAAAAAGAAATTTAAGAAAAAACTAATATTTTTTTAATAGATTAGTAAGAAAATAACATTGAACAACTAAAAAAATAAATAAAAGAATTCGAAGATTAGAAATTGCGTCTAAATGTTGTAAAAAAAAAGTCTAATATAGAAAAAGATGACCTTAAAAAAAAAATAAAGAATAAGATATTTAAATAAAAAGTCTTTAAAAAGAAATTGATGAACTATAAAATTAATTCGATTAACTTAAAAAAAAATATATGGATTTGAGTGTTACAAATTCTTTAAGTTTTAATGAAAATTCGAATTTTACTAATAATTGTTTCAAAAATACAACTAAAAACCCTAATGCTAGGCTGTTTGATTATAAAGATAATAATTAATAAATAGATTTTAAATAACAATTTAAGTTTTTTCCAAATTAACATGAAAATTCTATTAATTTTTAATAGTTAGAAAAAAAAACACAGAATTTAATATTTTCTTAAGAAAAAAATGAATATATAATTTATTTATATATTTAAATTTTTAAATTTAAATATTATAAAAAAAAAAAATATTTTATCAATTTAAATAAAAACTATTTTTTTATTAATAAAATTTATTAAATTTATAAAATAAAAAACTACTTGTATACAAGAAAAGAAAAAATTAAGGAAAAAACAATTTTTGAAGTAATATAAATATAAATGAATATGTATTAAATATATATAAAAATTTATAAATATAAATTTATATAAATATATGTGTATATTCATTTAAATATATATATATATATATTTTATTTTTAATATTTTTTAAACTTAAATATTATATAATTTAAGAAAGAAATTTTTAATTTTTCATAAATTTTAATAAAATAAAATATTTATATTTAATAAATATTTTAATTATAATTATATTATTTTTAGTTTAAAATAAAAACAAATGAAATCAAAAAAATAAAGTTTATTTTTTAACAAAACAAATATACATATTTATATAATCACTGAAATTATTCTTCTTATTTATATTATAACTATTTAACCTCTTTTAATGATTAAATTTATTACAAAGTTTTTTCGTATAAAGATAGAGCTTAACTTGCAATTTTATATCTAATCTAATTAATATCCTTGACTAAATTCGATAGATGTTATACTTTTTCCTAAGCAAAATTAATTAATAATTTATTATCTTTTATTAACGCATAACTACTTCTATATTTTTTCTAAGCTAACCCAAAAATTAATTTAATATCTTATTTTCTAACATTTTCAATTATAAGCATAAAAGTTTACTTCGAAGAATTGTATCTAATTTAGAAGTTATTGACTAAAAAAGCTAAGTATTTTTCCTAAGCATTTTAGATTACAGGAAGAGTTTAAATATAAGTAGGGAAATATTTAATTTATTCAAGATAACTATTAACTATTAATTTTCCTAGCAAATTTAAGTTAAAAACCAACTTTTTAGCCCTTTAACTTAACAAAAGTTTTTCTTCTTGATTTTCTTCTTATTCTATATTTTTTCTTAATTTAATTTTTTGTTCATTTATTAGTTTAATTATTTAACTTATACTTCTAATTCATCTATTAATATGTTACCATAAAATTAAGCTTACTTTATTAAATTTTGTTTAGTTTATTAAGTTTTTTCCACTATTTTATTTTTAGTTTAGACAGTTTTTTATAAAACATTAGTTTTTAATTCTAATAATTTTTTATTTGTAAGTTAAACTTAGATTATTGTTTAATCTATTCTTTAATCAATATTGCTTGTTACTTTTTAAACTAAAGGCAAGTTAGTTAATTTTTTAGCATTTTCTTCAAGGAATGAACTATTAATTCTTGTTTTTAAATAAAGGGTGTTTGTTAAAGATACTGATTTATCGAAAAATTTTTAAGCATAATTATAGGTAATTACTTGTGCCATTTGATATGTTTTTTTTTTTGAATATTATTGATTTTTTTTTTTTTTTTTAAGAATTTTTTATTAAATTAATTTATTGTATATGTTTATCTTTTAATTTATTTTTTTAAAAAATAGTTAGTTTTATACAAGTTGACGTAAAACAAATTAATACATATTTACTAATAAAAAAATACTACATGTGTATATTTTTGAAAAAAAAAAATTAAAATAAAAAATATATTCATGTTATAATTAATTAAAGTCATATATTTTGATATATAATCATAAAATTAGAATACTATATAATTTTATCCAATTGACGCAACTTATTAATACATAATTTTCGAAATATATAAAAAAAGAAATTAAATTAATATTTACAAAAGCAATTATTATTTTATTAAATAAAATAGAAAATAAATAAAATATAAAAATATTGTCCACACCAAAAAATATACTAAATATAAAATTATTTTATTTTACCATTTTTTTAACTATATATAGTATATATAATATAAAAAAATTAATATTTTTTTATAGTTTATCCTTATTATTATTTTTTAAAATTCATATACAAAACCATTGTTTTAAAAATATAAATTCTTGAATTAAAAAATAATTAAAAAAATAAATTATTAAAATATAAAAAAAATTAAGTTAAATAAATAATTTATTATTTTTAGACATTTTTTATTTAATATTTTATAACATAGTTATTTTATTTTCTATTATTATTATAATTATTTAATTTATTTTATTTTATTATTATTTCATTATTGTATGACGCTATTAAAATATAGTAACAGTTAATATCCAATTTAGCATTTAAATAAATACTTAAAGAAAAAAATGAAAAAAAATATATTTTGTAATATAAATTTTTATTAATAATAATTAACTAATTATTCACAAATTAATTTGTATTAAATCAATCTTATTTTCTCGAACAAAAAAAAAATATTTCTTTTTTTTAAAAAAACATGCTATATAAACTTTCATTTATAATATTATTAAAGGTTTTCTTATAATTATTAAAAAATTATTTTTAAAAAGCTATTTTAGCCAATACTTTTATTGGCTAAAATATTAATTTTAATAATTAATTCTTAAATTCTAAAAAAATATCTTCCATATTAGATGGAAAAATTAATATAATAATATACAAAATACTATAAGTAAAATAATATATAAATAAAATATAATTATAATAAAATATTTTTTTAATAATCATAAATTATTAGAAATTTAAATTAAATATTTTATGTAGAACTTTTTTAGAAATTTTAATTTTATTAAATTAACTAGATAACTTTTATCTAATATTAGCGTAATACTTTAAAGGAAAATATGATATTTCAAATTAAATTATTCAAATAATTTTGTAATAATTTAAAAGAATATGGCATTAAATAAACTTTAGTTAAAGCTAAATACAACCATAAAAGTAGGTTAAACAACTTAATAATCTTGTTAATAAGAATAGGTAATAAATAATAAAAAAAATAACAAATATTGAAAACTTTTTGAAAATATGAAATTTTTTAGAACATTAGTAAAATAAATGACTATAAAATATATTATAATTTTATTTTAAAAATATAAGAAAACAATTTAAAAATTTTATATAGTATATTATTCTAAATAATAATTATAATATATATGTTATATGAATAACTCTAAATTTTTATATCAAAGAAAAATAATATATTATTAATTCTATTTTTATAAATTAAATATATATTAACTATTTATATATTAAAGTTTTTAATTTTAAAAATAACATATGATTTTTTAACTTAAATAATAACTATATTTGATATAAAAAATTTTAATTACAAAAATCAATTGAAAATATTGAAATTTTTAATTTTAAAATATTGAAATTTTTAACTTTTTTGTTTTTTTTTTATTATAAAATTATATATATATATTTATTATTATTAAAATTAATTTTTTTTTTTTTTTCCATTTATCATAAATAAACAATTGTTTCATAAAAATTTAACTTTACAAATAAATATTAATTTCAAATGTGATTTTTTAGTATTAATTTTTTATAATTTTTAAATATTAATTTGTACTTATATAAAACCTTTACAAAAATAAATAAATTAATATACATATGCACGGAATTTAAATTTTGGCTTTACACAGAACAAAAAAATGCAATTAAAATATAAAGCAAGAAAAATCACTTTCTTAAACATAAATAGAGCATATTTCATAAGATATTTAATAGCAATAAGATTTGAATAATTTGTATGTACATGAAAACGATAACGATATAAATTTAGATGAAGAAAATTAATTAATAATGGATTAATTTTAAATAGAGAAAAGTCTTGCAAATAAAGAAGGAGATTATTTAGCAAATATTTATGTAGAAAAAAATAAAATGACATTAGAACAAAATATATTGACAAGTTAATTGCATTAAAAATACTAAAAACTTAAAATACACAAAAACATTAGACATGTATTTTTTAAGCTATTATTTTTTTTTATAATAATTAAAAATATAATTTAAATAAAAGCAAAAAAATGATATTGCACCACATATATTTTTATAATTTTTTATTTTAAAAAGTAACAATATTTGATTGGGATGATACCATTTTTTGCACATCAAGCCTTTAAACATAAAAATTCAAAAATTTAACAGAATCATAAAATAAAAATATGCAAATGCTAGATGAAAAAGCAGTAAATTTTTTAAAAAATAACTATTCATTTTTAAATAATAGTCATAATTAATAATGTAAAGTCTTTAATATGGATCAGTTTATATTATCACAAATGCACTATTAGGGTGGGTTGAATAAACAAGTAGCTATTTCCTTCCATATGTAAATAAAATATTGTAAACCGAAAAAATATAAATAATATCTGCAAGAAGTAAATACGAATAATATTTCCCAAACGACCATTTAAAATGGAAAATTGAAGCTTTTAAAGATTTATCTAATTATTTTGATAAATAAGTTATTTTATTTATAAGCTTTTTTTTTTGAAAAATGAAAAAAAAAAACATATTATAGATTATTACTAATATAATATGTATAGGAGATTCACATATTGAAATGTAAGCTTCTCATCATTTAAGCAAATTGTTTTAAGTTTTTCTTGTAAAAACTATAAAATTAAAGGCTTAACCTAGAATTGATGAATTAGTAAAGTAACTTTAATTAATTGATTAAAATTTTGAATAAATTTATAAAGAATTTAAAAATCTTAAAATAAAATTAGAAAAGTAATTATTTTTATTTTTTAATTTTAAAATAAATATATAAATATATAAAAAATAGAAAATATTGATTATCTTCAAAATTTTGTAAATAGATACATAATAAATATATTAATAAATAAATAAAAAATATTATATTTATAAATTATTATCCTCAATATATATATTTATTTTGATATATTAAAATATAAAATGAAAAATTTTTATAATTATTATAATTTAATTTATTTATATTTCTCAATTATATTATTTTTAAAAAACATATATATAATGTAAAATTATTTTTCCAAAATATTTATTTTATATATAAATAAAAAAAATATTAAAAAAAATCTTTTCTTTTTTTCTTATATATATAATAAATAAATTTTTCCTTAATAAAAAAATAAAATAAAATAATTTTTGTCATTAAGCTAAACTAGACATTAACATATACATAGATTATTCAATTTATTATAAAAGTGTAATAATTTCCTAATCTCTTAAAACATTTGGATTAGCCATAAACTTCATTTAATCTTCTTCTTCGAGTTTAAACTTTTCAAATACATAATCATTTAACATGGTTGATATAATAATAGGTATTTACTACACAGTTTCTTAATTTTAAGACATCTTTGATATAGCTTCTTTAATAAGGGCTGGTTTTTCATTCAAAAGATTAATCTAATATTGAATTAATTCTTTCATTTAATCTATAGTAACTTGCACATTAATGTCATTTTTGATAAATTCTTTCATTTTTTATCTCATTGTGGCTTAAAGCATATAAATTTCTTAATATCTTCCTTATTCCATTAATTAAATTACGGAATCTTCGAATTCTTATGATGAAATTCCTAATTTAGCAATTATTTATTTGTTTGCATTTTCAAGTGATTTTTCTATGTCTTCATTATATTTCATTATAGCATCTAAATATTATTCACTAGAATTATTTTAGAGTAGTTATCGGCGCAAATTTCTATTAGTTTTAGTCATTTGAACGTATTCCTCTTCCACTAACTTAATTGAGTTTTACATTATCTCGTAGATATATTCAATACTGTTCTTATCAAATTTTAATCCCTATAAATAAGTACAAATCTCGTTCAATTTTGTATTATATTCACCACCTTATGGACACTAAGGGTTATTTTATTATTATTATTTTTATTCTTAATTTTCAACTTTTTTTAATTAATCTTAGACAGATTCAAGCTCAACTTCAGATTCCTTTGTTAGTTAGTGTAAAATGAAAAGGGCGGTAGAGGCTGCAGCTGTAGCTCCTAGGATGTATTTGTTTTTTTATATGAAATTTATTACTTTTTCCATTTTATTCTTATTTGTTCTTTTTTTTATTTAAGTTTATCTTTTTAATTATTTATTATTATTTTAATGTTAAAAAAATATTTTTATTTAAAATATTTAATTTCAATTATATATAGTCTTTTTGTTTTTATTTTATATTTATACTTGCTTTTCTTGATTAAAATATTTCATATATATATTTTTTTGTAAAAATAATATATGCGGATTAAATGAAAACTAAAAGTATAAAAAAAACTAAAAATAAATAATTTTTTCATATCTCGAATTTATATATTATATTTTGATAAAAAAAATAAGAATTTTTTTAAGTATTAGTTTTTTTTTTGATTTATTTTTTTAAATTAATATTATTCTAACTTTTATTAAATAAACACTAATTTTTAATTAATTTATTTTACAAAATAATTTTTTGATACAAATATAAAATATTCTATTTAAATTATTAAAAAATAAAACTAAGATTGAAAGAATCAATTTTAATTGTTAATTTATATTCTATAAGTAATAATATTTGTTGTTTAATAATATATTTAAATTTAATATAAACATTTTTATAGAAACAATTTTTTATTTTAACATTCTTGTTTTATAAAATAAATTATAATTATAATAATTTGTTATAAAAAAATAATTTTACAAATTTTTATTAATTTATAATGAAAATAATTTAAAAAAAAAGAAAGAAAAGTACTATATAAAATAAAAAATTTAAATGTAAATTATAAATTGTTTAATATCTAGTTAATTAAATTTGAAAATAAATTATAAAAGAAAAAATATACCTTATTTAACAAAAAAAATTTAAAAAAAATCAAAAAAATGAGAATGATCCAAATGCCTAATTAAAGTGAAACTCATTATTAAAGTTTTTAACGTCCTTATATAGATTAATAATAAGTATAATTTTATTCATAAAGATAATTATCAAGGGGTTCAAATTATAATAATAATACATTACAAAGCTATTAATAACAAAAGGTAATTTACTCTCCAATAGTTAATAATTAAAAAAGATAATTATAGCAAAGATAATAAACTTAAATATTGCCATAATAATTAAATTAAAACAACAATTTACAAAATTAAATTTACTAATCGACACAATAATAATAACTTTAATAATATAGCCAATTGTATTAAAATTCAATTTAATTAAATTAGCAAATAAAATTAATTCCTAAAAATAATTAACACATTTAAATAAATTAATAAAATATGCAATATCAATTAAGCACGTAATAATTATAAAATTAATAAAAGTATTAGACCTAGAAATAATAACAAACATAATAAAAGTAAATATATTAATAGTAATAATAAATATAATGTAATTAATATCAATAAATATAATAAATTCCTTTAAATTAATAAGCTTAGCAATAATATTTAATATAATAAAACTAATAATAATATAATTAATAATAATAAAAAAAAAAAAAAAATTAATATTATTAATAGAATTAATAAATTTAATAATAATAGTAATAAATTCTTTAATAAAAATAGTTATTTCATTAATAATAAAACATATAATAAATTTAATAATAGTAATCGGAAATCAATACATCTGAATAAAAAAATCATAGTTAAAATATTATTATGAGTAATGAAAATCAAGCAAATATAAATAGTTTTTAAAAAGTTTAATTTAAAACAGTAAAAGAATGTATCAAGAATTTCATAAATTAATAATCGGAAGGTGTTTCAACATATCAATGTACAATTTAAAATGCATTAGAAGATTCATAAAAATAGCAAGAAATGAATCCTGAAAATAGTCTAATAATACATTCTTTTGGATTAACTTAAGAAAATTTATATTAAATGTAAACTAAATAGAATATTATAGAAGCTTCTTTTAGCAAAGATATAATATAATAGTAATAATAATAGTAATATTAAGAGTAATAATAGTAAGAGTAAGAGTAATGGTAATATTAAGAGTAATAATAGTAAGAGTAAGAGTAATGGTAATAATAATAGTAATAGTAATAGTAATAGTAATAGTAATAGTAATAGTAATAGTAATAGTAATAGTAATAGTAATAGTAATAGTAATAGTAATAGTAATAGTAATAGTAATAGTAATAGTAATAGTAATAGTAATAGTAATAGTAATAGTAATAGTAATAGTAATAGTAATAGTAATAGTAATAGTAATAGTAATAGTAATAGTAATAGTAATAGTAATAGTAATAGTAATAGTAATAGTAATAGTAATAGTAATAGTAATAGTAATAGTAATAGTAATAGTAATAGTAATAGTAATAGTAATAGTAATAGTAATAGTAATAGTAATAGTAATAGTAATAGTAATAGTAATAGTAATAGTAATAGTAATAGTAATAGTAATAGTAATAGTAATAGTAATAGTTTTTTTATAATAATTTTACTAATATAAATAAATCATATTTATCGGCTTCGGCATAAAAATTATATAATTTAGTCAAAAAATTTAATAATATTTCTTCCGAAAATTTAGACGATTAAAATTTTTTATTAAATGAATAAAATGTAGATAATAATAAAATTCGATAATATTATGATATCAATAGTAAATTAACTATAAAAGAACCGGAAAATAACAGAAATATGAATGAAAAAATGCTATTTTAAATTAATAATATTAAATAAGTTTAATAACTAAATTAAATACTTCACAATTAGAAAATATAATTAAATGAAATTTAATAAAATAAATTATAAATAAATAAAGATTAATAAAGCAATTATCTCTAAAGCACAAAAAATCAAAATAATTATTATGGATTTGATTAATTTAAAGATAACGAATTTGAATAAAGAAATTAAATTTAATAGTAATATTAGAATAATCTTTTAAACGAAATATAATAAAATAAAGACGATCTTTTATCAAATAACTATGAATCAATATAAAAAGATGAAGAATTTATCAAAAACTAAAAATAAAAATTAGATGTTTAAAAAGCAACTAATTAATAAGTTAAAAATACATTGAAAATTAAAAATAATAATAATAAAAGTAGAAATAATTAATTAGTTTAAATTTAAGAACAGTTAGTAGAATAGGTTTCAGAAGAATTATATTAAAACAGTGAAAATAATTAATAAAAAAATAATAATTTTAATCAAATTTATAATAAAAAAAATAATTTATTAGCAGAAATAGATTTTTTAGATTAGCAAATAAAAGATATGGAAACTGAGTAAAAAATTTCGAAATAATCTTCTAACACGGAATTAGAAATAAATAAATTTTAGCATAAATTAAAAGAAAATAATAGTCTAAGTAAAATAAATACATAAATAAAAGATAAAAAGTAAAAATAATAAATTAAAATATTATTTATTTATTTTATAAAAATATAAATATTAGTGTGATGAATTTTAATACATATTAAAGTTTTTAAAAAAATAAAATAATAAATAATAAATATGAATAAAAACCTTTATCTTGCTCAAGTTTAAATGCAAATTTACCTCTTTTTCTTTAAAATATAAATAAGTTATATATAAATAAAAATTCAAGAAAAAAAAAAATGTAGAGTAACGATAATTTAAAAAGTAGTTAAATAAATTAAAAAAAACAAGAATAAAAATAAAATTTAAAATAAAAAATTATAAGGATAAAAAATAAATGAAAAAACAAAAATTCATAATAATTGTTTATTTAATATAAAATTTTATTAATATTTATATATATATATTTATATATATATATTATAAAAATTTATAATTTTAAATATTATTATATATTTTTTATATTATATAATATTAAATATTTCTTTTTTTTTATTTAATTTGCAATATGTTATTTTTTTTTTTAATATAATTACATATTGCAAATATATTTATATATTTTCATTTTTAAAACCAAGGTAAATTAATTGAATAATTTTTTTTACTAATATTTCCAAAAGGAACAAACAGTTCTAAACTATTTTTTTAATTTCTAAATTATTCTTATTCCCATACTAACAATTATTAATCAAAATATTCAAAAGACTAATAAAAAATATGAATATAAATAATTTTTTTTTATTTTTATTTATTTTTATAATATAATTTTTTAAATAAACTTAATCAATAATAAAAAAAGTACTTTATAAAATTATTTATTTCCTTTATTTTGACTAAGTTTTTTAAAATATTTACTCAAAAAATTAAAATAAATTATAACTGTTGTATATATATATTTCATTTTTTGTTGTTTTTTTTATATTTTTTAAAAACACAATCAAAAATAAAATGTCAACACTAATTTTTTTTGTTCGACTTTTTTTATTTTTGATTTAGTTTTTTTTAAAAAAATATAAAACATCAAAATAAGAAATTAGAAATATTAAAAAAATTATAATATCACATTATTTTTTTAAATTTCCGTTAAATTATCAACATCTCTTCTATTTTATTTAGCAGAACTTAAAAGCATTCTTTTATGAAATCCTGAAACGTTCTCATTTTTATTTAAAAGTTAACTATTAGGTCTAGTAATGCATTAAGTAGATGTAGATACCGTTTATCCTAAAATATTAATACTTTCTGTTTAACTAATATTCTTAACTAATTATTTTTAAACTTAAGAAGCACCTATACTAGTTTATGGCCTAACTGAATTGATATAATTTTTTTAAATTCCGGTCTAAGAGTCTAAATTTAAACCTGTTAAAGGCCTTTTATTTGCAGTTTAAGGTCTCAAAACTATCGGAGGCGGAATAGTATACGAATTTTTTTTGTTTTTTTAAAAATAATGGCTATAAGCCTGATCTTTTACCATTTGTCTGTGCAGATTAACTTCTTATTTTACTTGAGTTATGAATGCGTTTTAAGGTCTTTATTATTGTTTTTTTTAATAGGTAGAGTTTTATTAAATTTTTTCAATTTTGTTATAATTAATCTATGATTTTTAAATTTTTTAGCCTATTTAATTTTAACTACTATCGATTTCATCTTCAGATTCTTCTGTTTCTTTATTTACATCTTTTTATTATTTATTTATTAATTTTAAAAAATAACAGTACCTTTGTATAGTTTTCCGTTTATTTTAGCTTAATTAACTAATTAATTAGCATTTCTTAAACGAACTTTTATTTCTTCATATAATTACGAATCACGTAGTAAAGAACGAAATTCTTATTAAAAATTATCGTCATTCTTTAATATTAAATCAGTTTTATTTTTTCTTTGGCAATATATTACTCCTCCTTTTTATACATTTATCGACCTTCAAATACCATCTTTTCTAAATTATATTAATATTTCATATGGTTCTATATTTTAGCGTCTGGGTTTTTTTATGTAGAGGCTTTAGCAGATTCTATTTTAAATAATCCATACTATATTTTAAATAAAATGTAAAAAATTTAAATTATTAATATAATTAAAAATACTTTATCCCTTTCAATATCCATAGGAATTTTGGGTATTTTATCAATCTATTATTTATTTAGATAAAATATAAATATTTAAAAATATATAAAACTATATATATATTTAGTATTATTTACAAATTAATGTCTTTAAACTGTATTACATACTAAATATAAAAATTCATGAATTTAAATTATTCCTTTATATTCAACAATTTCACTACATTTTTTAATCCATTCTTTGAGGATATCTTGACTTATAACTTTATTTATTTTCTAATATTAATTTTATAAAAAAAACAAATAAATATATTTATATTTAATATAAAATAATAGGGTTTGCCATTAATAAGTTATTTATAACGTCTTCGTTTAAAGGAAGTCCTGTAGTCTAATGTTCCATTTCTTTAAGCACAAAAATTAGTACTGCATTCCTTATTTCTTCTAACCTATATTTTATTTAAAATTAAATTTTTAAATAATAATATTATTTTAAATAATATATATGTACTTAAGTAAACCTTTCAAAAATATAATTATACTTGATTCAATAATTTTTATAGATTAAGATGTATACATATTATTTAAAAACTTTATAATAATAAAATATTTTATCAAATAAAATATAAATACTCTAGGAGTTCTTTAAATAAATTAAGCCGAATGTAAAATCTCAAATATTTTTTAAATTGGTAATTTCGATGTAGACTATATCGTATCGTCATATTATTCCATATATATATCTTTTACTGCTTTAAACATAGGATATAACTTTTTTAATATTTATCATATTTTAAATGTTATATTTTTTATAATTTTTAATTTATATAAGTTTAATATAAGTTATATTTTTTGTTAGAAAGATTAAATAATTACTTCTAAATATTATACACATAAAGCCCTTTTTATTAAAAAATTAATATTAAAATTTAATAGTTTAGCCTATTTTTTACTCTAAATCTTAAAGTTTAATACTGTCATGTATTTCTTTTGGATTTAAAATTCCGTAAATTGTAAAATCTTCGCGTTCCATATTTTAAAAAATATAATTTAAATTTATATATAATATTTTTTTTTTTAAATGATTAATAATATATTTTTTAGAAATGTGATTTTTATTTTATGTAGATAGGTTTTGATTTATATTAATTATATGTTTCTATAAATAAAAATTATAATTATTTAAAAAATAAAATAATTAATGTACAAAATATATAAATATATAAATTTAATAAAAACAAAAAATTATTTATATTAAGTAAATTTCTAATATTTTTAAGTATTAAATTTTAATTTTTTTTCAAATATAATCCGTATTTTTATATTTTTTATTACTAATATTATATTGCTAATTTATTAATTGCTAAATTTTATTTTCCAAATTCTATTAATTTTTTTTTTTTAAATAAAAAAAATTAATTACTTCTTTCCAAACCGAAAATTATTAATTATTTTCTGAAATAATTTTAAGTAAATTAAGTTGAACATCATCTTTAATAATTTATTTATATTCTTACTCATTTATTACTTATTTTTCCATAAAAATATAAGGATGTTTAATATTAGTAACAAAGTCAACATAATTATTCAATTATTATCTACTCAAATTTATATATTTTTATTTAAATTTTTTTTATATTTTTTTTATATTTTTTTTGTATTTTTGTTTATATTTTTTTTTATATGTCTTTTTATTTTTATATTTATATTTATTTTAAATATAATATATAATAAATACTTATATTCAAAAAAATATCCTTTGTCAACAAATTATTATTTTTGAATTATTAAATTATTTATATAGTTTTACGACCTAAAACTTTAACTTTTCAATTTATCAGTAAAATTAGTTTGAATAAGCGACTAAAATGACTTATATGGTGTATTAATATTTTAATGTTTTAGTTTACTTGTAGACCCTGTAGAAGTATTTCTCACATTTTAATTATTATCATCTGAGTATTAATAATTAAATTAATCTGCACATTATGATGATGCTTTTATTTTTCCTTAATTTATAATTTCTGTATTATTTTAGTTTAAATCAAGATTAAGTTATAATTATTTATATTATTGCTATATTTCACTTTTTACATAATTAATGTTCTAATTATTTTATTATGATGTTAATTATAACACATTAGAAATTGAATTAGAAGGTGTTTTTCTAATTAAATGTTGGTTTTAGTTAATTTAATTAATAATTTCGTTTTTTTTCTTATTTATATTACATTAGTCAATTCCAAAAGAAATTTTTAATAGATTTCCAAGTTTTTAACTTTTCATATTTTATGTATTTGCAGGTTCTTAAAATTATTATTTTATTTAAACTTCATTTTTAGCACTTTTTAAATTATTTTCATAATATATATTATTTTAATTTTCTGAAGAAACATTATTATTTATTAATTATTCTTATAAATTATTATTAATTGTAAATTTATCTTCTTATATCTATTTATTTTAAGATAGTTTGCTTTTATAATTTTCTACCATATTTTTGTATGTTTCTAAATAAATTTTATAATTATCTGAACTGTTTTATTAGTTGTATTTTTTTGAAGAAATTTTAATATTTGAGGAAAATTCTTATTATGAATTAAACTGTTTTTTTGCTGTTTATTTTTATGAGGCTTTCGTATTTTAAGTCTTAATTTAATTTTAGAAATTAATATTTTGCTATACTTAAGAATTTTTTTTGATAAAATAATACTACTTGATTTTTCAGATTTTTAATTGTTTTAAATATTTCCTTCTATTTAATTTGAAAATAAAATTTTATTATTATTTAAAGAATAATCGGTGTTCATATTTTTTTCACATATTTCGTTATTTTTTTATGTATTTTTATTTAAATTATTTACCTTCTTACTTTACTAAATTCTATTTTTTAATTTTTACTTTCTAATTAATATTAAATTATAATATCGATTGCTATTATTAATGTTATTAATATTATTAATTATTAGGAGATGGCAATTATTTTTATTTTAACATGATATTATTTTAAATAAAATTTGTTTCTATATTATTATTATTATTACTATTATTACATTAGTTTTTTTTAATTATTATTACTATTTTTAATTATATTCTTCTTATTATTTTAATATTGAATTATTCTATATTATATTCATTTAAAATAAATCTGAGTTTTGAACTTTTGTACTGTTTGATCTACCTTTCATATATAGATTTTAATAGATATTTAAACTTTAATTTAATACAGAAGATGTATTCGACTATTAAATTTGATTTTTTGATTCTATCATTTTTATTATTAATATAAAAAATATTTATTAATAAAAATAAATAAATATTATATTAATTTTAAATTGATTATTTTATATTAAATATATATGTATTCATAATTTTTTTTATTATTATTTTATTATGTGCATTTTAAAAATTATTAATTTTTTATTTATTTATTATTAATTTCTTTTTAGCATATGAATTTATTATTAAAAATCATAAAAAAAAAAAACAAAATAAATAAATAATAATAAGAAAAAAAAAATATGGATGATTAATCATTAAGTCTAAATTAAGGTTAAATAAAATAAAAAATAATATATATTTTAATGTTTAATTTTTTATTTTTGGTAAAAAAGATGATTTAAATTCAAAAATACATGAAATTATTAAACTATATTAATAAAATGCCAGTCCAGAGTATTTTTATATTCTAGAACTTTTAAATTTTATAATTTATAAATATATTATATATACAATCTAACTATAAATAATTTAATTCATATTTTTTTTTTTCAAATTTAAGAAACTATAATAAATCTGTAAATGAAAAGAAATAATAAATTTCAAAGACAAATGAAAACTAACAATAAATTATTGAAAAAATAAATAATTAAAAACTATTGTCTTAAAGTATATATTTATAAACTGATAGTAAAAATTCTTAAACAGATTCAATAACAAAATAAAATATTATTTATTATTAGAAATAAAATAGTATATTGAAGAAATTAAAGAATTAATAAAATTTAATAACAATAAAATAATTATAAGTAGAATAAAAAAAGACAATATATATATATATATATATAATATAAATATATTTATTATTTTATTTTCAAAAAAAAGTATTTAAAATAAATAAAAACACCTTAAGATTGTGTATTAAAAATAACGAAATGTTTAATTTATTTAACCTTAACTTTAAATGAAAAAGAAATAGCTGAAATAGAATAAAAAAAATGGCCTTAAATTTAATAATATTTCACAAATCCTTAGAATATAATCAATTTATTAAATAATGTATAAACTTTTATAGAATCAAAATAAAACTTAAATTCAATAAAATAATGTGAAAATCTATTTTTTACAATAAAATCAATTTAATTAGATTAAAATAAAATAATGGAAGAAACCGTTTAAATACTAAATGATTTTATAAAAATAAGCATTTAGTATTTTTATTATTTATAAAAACCACTTTAAGAATAATCAAATAATTATTCTTAAAATATAACAAATACATAATTTTAAAAAAACAACAATTAATCTTCATAAAAAAAGAATGAATATGAAAAAAAATATTATTTTTGTACAAATCTTGATTTAAAGCAAAGAAATAATATAGCTGCTTGTTATAAAATTTCAAGATAGGATAGAATTAATAAATTAAAAGTGAAGAAACCCTAAGTTAATTCATACGTTAAGTAAATTATAAATAGTTATGAATAATATTCTGATAAGTCAATTACTAGAAAAACACTACCAAGTGAAAATTAATAAAAATAAATGTAATAAAGTTCTCAATTAAAAGAATAACTAATATAAAAATTATATAAAAAAAATAATAAAAAGTAAAAATTAATTTTTTTAATATATATATATATATATATATATATATATATATATATATATATATATATATATATATATATATATATATACTATACTAGTAC